ACCAAGGCCTAGGTCTTCACTGCAGAATAAAGATGCCAGGGCTGTCTGCTTAGGTTTTTATGTTTACTCAGTGTCTAGGTGAAGTATATAATCTATAAATTTAGTTAAGAAGATTATCTACAGAATTGAAGAGAGCACGAGGGTTTTTGGACTCACTTGACATGTTAACTCTGAGCCAGCATCACCAGAACACCTTTGACTTCCCTGGGAAAGAACCACTCATTTATTTTCAGTTTCTCTACACGTGGCACAGCTCCCTCATGACTTCACAGCCTAATCACCCTAAAAAATCTGTTTTGGTGCCACTAAAACACAGGAGAGATGAAAGAAGATTAAAAAGGAATGGCAGTTAGCAATTACTCAGGAGCAAATACTCCTTCCAGTGACTCTTCCAGGACACAGGAGCTGCTGATCCAGCTAATGACAGCAGTAAAACTCATCATCTGTACCCACCCCGTCAGCCTGTCTCAACAGGCCAAAGTTAGATAATTCAACAGAAAGTGTCAAAACCACTTGTGTCTGCTACAGCAACTCCAGGTGTACCAAATATCACTCTTCTCCATTCAAAACAACTCACCCCTTCTGTCTAAGTGTCCTGAGAAGACATGAAATGAACGAGGACATCTTAAACACAATCTTGGAATGTGCTTCCAAACACCATGAGCCAGCATCTGGCTCCAACCCACTGCTATTGCTACTGCCAGATCCACTCAACCACCTTTCCTGTGCCACTATTAAGGACCAAACAGATTTTTTAAAAATCTCTAGCAATAGTAAAACTCTGAATCCTATCAGATAGCTACAAACCAGCAGACAGAAACCTCTGCAGCCAGCCCCGACAAGAAAACTTCCTTTAAAAATAAAGCAGAGACTCAGTCTCAGTTGATTTCCTGACTTCTTTCTTTCTTTTAAACATCCTTGTAGCTTTGATAGAAGGAGGCCTCTGCCTGGCCAGAGGACACACCATCAAGCATTTTCTACATCCGTTCCCTTATCTGGATCAAATCCAGAACAGTTGATGTGGAAGTTAAGTCTCCTGTTCCCGCAGATATCTTCCAAGCTAGTTCTGCCAATAGGCAATAGTTCAGACTTTCAAAAAATACACACTGGAAAGCCTAGATCTGCCTACAAACATTCTCTACAACAGGATGGAGAAGAGCCAGGGTAGTTTCTCTCTCATCAGCAGTCAAAAACAATGAAGGAAGGAATTACCACAGTAGATCACATTCCACTTTCATCCACAGTACTTCCAACCAGAGCAGCACTCTTCACAGCAGTCTCCTTGGAATAACATCAACATAAAACTTTCACCATGAGGCAAGCTAGAGCTAAGCATGGCAACAAGGACTGAGGAAAACTACACTGCTCATCTTGCTCCCAACCTTCAAGGGCCACAACATGTTACTTGACTGTTCTCACAACACTTTCAAAGCAAATTTGCTATTAGATCTATACATCATCACAGGAGGCCTGTACATAACCTCCTGTTTCCACTTACCTGGAAAACAATGGTGGAACGTTGACTTGGCTTTTTTGTGGGCCAGAAGAAGGCAGGTATCTCTGCTCACACACCCTGCCTCACTGCTCCCTACCAGTAATTCTAAGGCAATTCAAACCAAAATGCAACACACAAAGAGGCATCTTCAGAGGAAAACAATCCCAAACTACACATGGTCAATTGGCCCAAATGTTTTCATTTTAATACTAAAGCTTTAATGCAATTTATTTTTCTCTCCCCTTACCTTTTCATCCCACCACAGGCTAAAAAAAGGCAAGGAAAGAACACACGCACTGAGATGAGACAAAACAATAGGCACAGAAATCCCTAACTGCAAGGTTACAGTTACTTGCCACATTAGGTTTTGATTTTTATTTTCCTTTACATGAGTTCCATTTCCATTCAAAGTTTAAAACCAGTCAAGTAACTAAATGCATCTTCCCCTGTTCAGCAGAACAGAGCTTAAAAAAAAAACAACACTTAGACAATAACTATGTTTGTAAGAAACATGACATCACCCACTTCCCTTCATCCTGCCCTCTTTAGTTCCCACTGGGTCCATCTCACTGAAGTGTGTTTGTGGGGGAGGTGGAAGGACAAAGCACAAGAAAAAATCCACCATAAAAGCTGGCAAAGTGACAGCTCTTCTGAGGGTTGTTTAAAACCACATGCAGCTCCAAGCAAAGGTAGCTGATCCGTGGCAGGACCTAGCAGGAAAAATCACCTTCAGCTGAAGTGACGCAGGGAGCTGGATTGAAACCTGCTGATCAGACACTCTGGAGCGGTGCTTGGAATCCGTTACAGACATGATACTGCCTCTGGGGTGGGGAGTTTGCTTTTAAGCTGTTCTTAAAGGTTAGGAAATAAAGAGAAGAGCTTGTGTGTGCTCGCAGGGACTGGCTCCTTGCCCAAGCAGAGCACAGGGACTGATAGAGCTTGGTGTGGCTCTGTAGTCAGGGAGTGTTCTGATTGCTTGACTGCAGGGATGACAAAGTGGAGTGTCTGTGGGTACGGGTGGAGGGGAAGGTGAACCTTCTGCACCTGGACATGCACAAGTTTATAGGACCTGATGGGATCCACCCCAGAGTGCTGAGGGAGCTGGTGAGGGAGCTCACCAAGCCTCTCTCCATCATTTATCAGCAATCATGGTCAATGGGGAAGTATACAAGAATGACTGGAAGGAAGATCTGGGGAACTACAGGCCTGTCAGCCTGATCTCAGTACCAGGAAAGGTCATGGAGAGGCTCATCTTGAGTGAGCTGACGTGGCAAGTGCAGGGCAAGCAGGAGATCATGCCAGCCAGCAGGGGTTTATGAAAGAGAGGTCTTGCTTGGCCAACCTGATCTCTTTCTATGACCATGGGACCTGCCTTTTGGATGAGGGGAAGGCTGTGGACATTGTCTGCCTAGACTTTTGTAGGACCTTTGACACCATCTCCCATAGCATCTCCTGGAGAAGCTGGTGAATCATGGCACAGACAAGTGTTCTCTTCACTGGGTACAAAACTGGCTGGGTGGCAGGGCCCACAGAGTTGTGGCAAATGGAGTCAAATCCAGCCGGTCACCAGGGGTGTCCCTCAGGGCTTGGTGTTGGGGCTGGTCTTGTTCAATGATCCATGATCTGGATGAGGGAATTGAGTGCACCCTCAGTCAGTTTGCAGATGACACCAAACCAGGTGGGAGGGTTGATCTGCTGGAGGGTAGGAAGACTCAGCAGAGGGACCTGGACAGGCTGGGATGATGGGCCAAGACCAGTATGAGGTTCAGGAAGGCCCAAGGCCAGGTCCTGCATGTTGGTCGACATTGTCTGCCTAGACTTTTGTAGGACCTTTGACACCATCTCCCATAGCATCTCCTGGAGAAGCTGGTGAATCATGGCACAGACAAGTGTTCTCTTCACTGGGTACAAAACTGGCTGGGTGGCAGGGCCCACAGAGTTGTGGCAAATGGAGTCAAATCCAGCCGGTCACCAGGGGTGTCCCTCAGGGCTTGGTGTTGGGGCTGGTCTTGTTCAATGATCCATGATCTGGATGAGGGAATTGAGTGCACCCTCAGTCAGTTTGCAGATGACACCAAACCAGGTGGGAGGGTTGATCTGCTGGAGGGTAGGAAGACTCAGCAGAGGGACCTGGACAGGCTGGATTGATGGGCCAAGACCAGTATGAGGTTCAGGAAGGCCAAGTGCCAGGTCCTGCATGTTGGTCACAACAACCCTGGGCAGCACTACTGGCCTGGGGAAGAGTGGCTGGAGCTGCCCAGCAGAAAAGGCCCTGGGGGTGCTGGTGGACAGCAGGATGAACATGAGCCAGTGTGTGCTCAGGTGGCCAACAGCATCCTGGCCTGCATCAGGAGTAGTGTGGCCAGCAGGAGCAGGGAGGTGATCCTGCCCCTGTGCTGGGCACTGGTGAGGCTGCACCTCCAGCACTGGGAGCAGTTCTGGGCTCCTCACTGCAGGAAGGACATTGGGGGGCTGGAGTGTGTCCAGAAAAGAGCCACCAAACTGGGGAAAGGTCTGGAGAACAAATCATGCATGAAACGTTATTATCCATGTATTTCTTACTATGAAACTTGTACTCAGTGCATCAAAGAACGGTACAAGAAAGCTCACAAGTAATCACTGCTGATTGTTTACCACATCTATCTGTGGTTTAGAGTCTCTGTAACTTTCACCCAATATAAATCTAAGCAATGGTTTGAGCTCTCAGAACCATCTTTTCTGCATCAGAGCTACAGATTTCATAAGTAATAAAACTTTTATAGTCAATTTGTTAGTGATTCATTCCCTTAAGTTTCTGAACTTAAAGAATAAAAGGTCAAATTTACTTTGAAGCAGTAAGTTAAGCAACCTCCAAAAAAGTAAAGGCCATCACTTTCATAAAAGAAAACACAAGACTATAAACTTTACTATTACTCCCCTTGTCCAATTCAGTGTTTTGTTATGTTCCCATCTCATTAGAAGTTAGGACAGAAAAAATCATAAAAGGGGAAATCATGGCCCAAATACTTTGCAGCAAGAAGGTCTATATTGGGAGTGAGGCAGAAAAGGTACATCATCCAAACCATCTCTGTGCTTGGACTAAACTGATTTATCTGCTTTTCAACCCAAGTTGAAAAGTTCTCTGATCAGGAGGACTGATATGCAGGACCCACAGCACTGGCATGGCCTGGACACAGACACCTGCCTGTCAAATGAGCTGGGGCACAATACAGTGGTTACTACAGAACTTGAACAAGTTAAGAGTGAATCTGTACTGGGTCAGAACCATTGTGGCCACAACAGGCTGGTTTAACAGATGGAAACAGAAAGCTGGATTTCTGTACTACTGAATTGTAGCTTTGGCTGCATGTAACACCTTGAAATCTCAGAGACACAACCCATCTTAGCAGCTGCCAGTATGAAGAAGGTATCAATCAGCTCAAGGATCTTCCTTATTTTGGTTACACAGCCTAAGAAAATACAGTCACAACACAAGCTATGGTGCACACTGGGCACCTTCACTCACCTCTTTTAGCTCCTGTGCAACAGAATTAAGGCGTTCATTTTCAGACTGGGTGTTGGCCAGGACATTTCTGAGCTGCTTCAGTTCTGTCTGCAACTCCATAACCTTCTTCATGTAGTACTCTTCCTTGGTAGCCGATTCCTGAATCAAGGTCTCCTCTCTGCTCTCTCCATCTGCTGCTACCTTCTTGTGGTTGGTATGGGCCTGCCCAAAAGCCTAGAACCAGCAGAAAACAAGTATTTTGTTATTAAACCCAGAATTCTGCATAAGTCATTTCCATTTTAAATAGCTGAAACTATCTACCCTCATATTTCTTTGATGCAAAGCACTGCAACCTTCTCCTCACCCTCCTCTTCAGGGATCAAACCTTTAAATGCCATTAAGTGGCCACATGGGGCTTTTGGAAGCAGCATGCAGCACCCAGTGTTTTGAGAAGTGCAGAACATTTAACATAAGCTCTTGTGGGAAGAACAACAAACTATCGATCTGAGTCTGCTGCTGAAGCAAGACGTTGGCTTTCAACAAGATGACTACACAATGATCAGAGACTTCTGTATGTGCATGGTCTCTTAAGTTGGGCCAGACTCACTTCTGGAAAAACTGAATCACTGTAAATCTTGATCCAGCTATAGCAAAGACAGAGCTCACATGCTCAGCTGCTCATTGCTGGAGATTACTACCCACTCAAACCTGCTAACCCACTGCAGCCATAAGCAAGGAGGTTAGCAGGACTGCTCTGTAACCAGGTTAAGCTAACGTGGGTCATCCTGGCTGAAGTAGGTCAGCAGACGCTCACCCCGCTGCCTGCTCTCCAAGACCTCATCTCCAGTAGCGTGCCAGCAAAGAGACTTAGAGGCAGGTCACAGAGATCTAACCTCTTCAGCACAGCACACTTCTGTTTAGTCCTGGCATTCCCAATTTCTATCTTCTTCCGTTTCTTTTTGGGGGTTTTCATTTTGCTTCCAACTCCACCAGGCGATGCTCCCAGCAGCAGTGCCCTCCAGCACAGGAGCAAGCAGCCCTTACAGACACCCCACCCCCTGGCCTACAGTGGTTAAGAAACCTGTCAGTGCCTGTCACTAATAGATGTTTTAAAGCCAAGAGTTCAACATTTTTAGTGGGTATGTGCTTGCAACACATGGCCTAGCAGACAGACAGACCAAAGTCAGTGAGATTCATAACACTGGCTTTGAACGGCTGCATGTGTGTGCACCACAACCCAACCCAAGGTGCATCGGGAGATCTCAGGTGCCACAGCACCTTTGGGGATGCCAGGGTCACAGGGCAGGTTTTCATGACTAACATTAATTAATTAATACCAGGCATTACACCAGGTCAAGGACACACCAGCATTTTGTGAAACTTCTTTACTAGTCATGCAGGAACAGCTAAGAGAGCTGGGGCTTTTAGGCTTGAGAAGAGAAGACTAAGAGGGGACCTTATCCATGTCCATAAATATCTGCAGGGTGGGTGTCAAGAATGGGCCAGTATCTGTTCAGTGGTGCCTGTGACAGGACAAGGAGAAAAGGCACCAAGTGACAACACAGGAAGTTCCACCTCAACATGAGGAGAAACTTCTTTCCTGTGAGCCCTGGGACAGGCTGCCCAGAGAGGCTGTGGAGGCTCCTTCTCTGGAGACTTTCAAGACCCATGTGGACACGTTCCTGTGAGATCTACTCTGGGTGTTCCTGCTGCAGCAGGGGGGTTGGACTTGATGATCTTCACAGATCCCTTCCAACCCCTATAGCTCTATGTATCATGTTTTCAAATAATTGTTTTTGCTAGCTCTTTAAAAATCTACCATCAGCACAGAAAAAAAATAAATCAGCTTTGAAAAGAAGCAGATTTCAGTATTTTATTATTTATTTATATTAGACCAGACATTATTAACAGTACAGTAATTATTGAATGTACCAAGGCTGAAACAAATGACTGAATGTGTTAGGTCTGCCTCCAGTTAAAGACACTCACATATTGCTCCTATCAGATTAAATATTATTTCAGATAAGCAAGTCAGAGATACTACTGAAGAAATTCTAGCCAGATTCACTGAAATGACCCAAGGGAAATTAAAAAGCTTCACATTTCAGACAGAAAGCAAAGCACCATCTGTGCAAGTCCTTGTCAAATGAGTTTCAACAAAGCAGCTTAAAGGCCTAATACCCAAGATGTCCATAAATGTTAAATGGATAGCAAGCTTCTCAAATATACTATCTTGTTTTTTTTTTCCATAAAGACTTGAGACCCACCTGTTAATGACCTGCATCTATTAGAAATCTGTGACACAGAGGCAGGGCCTCTGGGCACCCATTTGCCCAGTGGAATGGCACCATTCTCCTGGCAGCAGGAGAGCAGTGCAGAGCATGCTTAAGCTCAGGACACTCAAAGCCACAACTGATTAACCAGACAGCAGAGTCCAGGCATGATTCAACTGAGGAACACAGTAATACCCCTAAGGGAGAAATTCCTGAGAAGAATTCCTAATTTGCTCTTAAAACCTTCAATGCAGAGGCTAGGACTTGAGTTTCTGTAACTACAGAAAAGAGAACAGCATCATAAGCAAGTGGCAGAAGCCACTGTTGGCAGGGAGTATTTGAACACAGAAACTGGCACAATGGATGAGACTGGGCTTGCTTGTAATCCAATATCCCAACTTCTACAGAGTATTCTAATGCCTGATGCTTCAGAAAAAGGTGGAAGAAATACCATAACCTCCCAGAGTTGGGGGTTGCCTTAAGCCTTGAAGCAGAATGCTTAACAGAAATTTGGAAGACCTATTGACATCTAGTTACTCATGTAAAATATCCCCTTGTTTTTCATGATTTTGTCTATTTTTCGCCTCAATAAACCCCTACAGCAATACATTCTGTGTTATAAACCATACTCTTACATTATAGTTTTTGTCAGTTTACAAGTTTCCCACTTTTTCATAAAAGAGAACACATTTTTTGTTCAGAGACTTGAAGGTATGTTGTTATTCCAGGATCCCCTGTCAACCATTCCCTGTCTTTAGATACTTCCATCACACTGTCACATCCCTCTATTCTCTGGTAAAAGTGAGGTGCTTAAGGTTCAGTAAGTTATCATCACTTTAAAGTTTGAGAGGTTTTTTCATGCCCTAAGACAGCAAGACTTACCTTTTCTTGTGTCTTGCTGCAAAGAGCAAGACTAACCCAACCAAATGGGAACTGCAGATGTCAGCTCCCACAGACCAGCTGTGAAAATGAGATCATGGATCACCCCTATCAAAGAACACTGCTATTCTTTGTGATCTCCAGTTATTTCTGCACAGCAAGGCTGTTATTTGCTCCCAACCAGAAAACTTGTGGAGTTTCAGCAGAAATCCTGCCCTTAGCTGGATGGTATTACTGTCTGGGGTCTGGAAGATGGGTCCAGAACCCTGAGTAAATAGACTCTGACACTACAAAGGAACACAAGAAACCTTCTTAACAGACATGGCCACCAGGACAGGCAGCCTGGAACAATTCCCTCCGGGTGGATTTATAAAGGAACATTTAAAAAGCACCTCCATTCTAACCAAGTTTCATTATCTCTCTTGTACATACTTAGAAACCACTTCATGCATTAACGTTAAAAGCTATTTTTATAATTGCAACAGCCTGCACAGAACAGGAAATTTAACTTTAACAAAATTGTGAAAATTACAGGGCAATGGAATTACCTTCCATGCCTACAGCCTAGGCTTGTTTTAAACCAAGCTATTAAAAGGGAAACTGAATTTTTACTGACATATGTGAAACTCATAACCATACCCAAAAGTCCAGCATCTACCCATCCTCTTTTGTTTTAACACTATAATAAACACAGAAACGTAAGTCAAAGTTATTTTGGTCTTCCTCTTTCCTCTTCCAAAACCTATACAGAGGTACTGACAACTAAGGTTCTGACAACTCAAGAAATTACAGCAAGACACTAGTAATTAAGGGACTATCAAAGCTCCCTTCTTCCCTTCAAGGTCAGAGCAAAATCAAGGAGTTCATGAACCAAAATGTTATCTTGCTATTTGCTCAGCTAGATGCCCTGAGTTTGAAAAACACTTTGCACTGCTGGACAAATGTATAACCAGCTCACATCAGACCTCATTTGGAGTGTTGTGTCCAGTTCTGGGCTCCCCAGTTCCAGAGGGACAGGGATCTACTGGAGAGAGTCCAAGGGAGGCTACAAGGATGATGAAGGGACGGGAACCTGCCTGATGAGGAAAGGCTGAGAGACCTGGGGCTGTTCAGTCTGGAGAGGAGAAGACTGAGGGGGGATCTAATTCATGTCTATAAATACATGAGGGCATCAAGAAGGCAGAGACAAGCTCTTGTCACTTGTGCCCTAGTAGAGGACAAGGGGCAACAGATTCAAACTCCAGCCCAGGAAGTTCCACCTCAAGATGAGGAAGAACTTCTTTCCTGTGAGAGTGACAGAGCCCTGGGACAGGCTGCCCAGGGAGGCTGTGGAGTCTCCTTCTCTGGAGACTTTCCAGCCCTGTCTGAATGCCTTTCTGAGTGACCTGCCCTAGTTTTGGTCCTGCTCTGGCAGGGGGGTTGGACTTGATGATCTTTGGAGATCCCTTCCAACCCCTGACATTCTGTGATTCTGTAATCCACCTCTTCAGAAAGCTGCCCGAGACACACATTGAAAGTCCTCCTTTGGTTTTAACACTAACTAAACAAAACCAGCCTTCACCCTGAACACACACAGCCTTCAAGTCAGAATAGCCATTTATCTCTGAACCAAGTGAACAGGACCCCCTTCCCAGCCTTGGTGCTCCCAGTTCTGTGGTGCAGGGCAAAGGAGAACACACCCACCCTGGGAACAGCACCGAGTCATTCGGATGCTATCATCGGTTCTCATTACTAATCTGCTGCCGAAGGTGCTGCCAAGCTGCGATCAACTGAAGCCCTAACAAGTTTGCTCCTGTCAAGCTGCCATCCTCTACCCACCACACCAGTACGCAGGGTCCTGCAGCCCTCCTCCCCTAGACACGAGGGAATGCTGCCCAAAGGCTCATTTGAAGCACGTGCGAAATTTACCATAATTAAGATGATGAAGGTTTATAAAAATAAGTATCATCAACGAAAAAGAAATCAGCTCTCATGCTTGCAGCATTACTTACGTCGGCAGACTCAAAGCAGTTAGGAAACACATGCTGCCATCTTGTTCAATAGCCCAGAAAATCTAATTGCTAAAAATCAAGATTC